GAATGTAAAATCCTTGGCTCTGAAGAAGTCTCTCCGCTGGAAGTGGTTCACAAAGAGCCAGCAGCACAGCAGAAGGGGCTTTCTGAAGATGAGCGGAGAGGCTCAGGTCCACCCAGCCAGGAACAGAGTTGTTCCTTCTATGAGGTGAGGTCTGAAGGTGGAAAACCAGAGGGGAAGCAGCCTTGCGATTCTGGCATAGAGAACATCAGCACTGCGCCTATCAGTCACAAGCAGTCTGCTCTCAGAGAAGGTGCTTTAGAGATTCAGAAGTTTTCAGGTAAGAGTGATTTGGTCATGGTGAATTCTGCAGCGACATCTCACCAGCAACAGAGCTCTGAGCAGGCGGAGTTTTTGGCAGAGGGTTATCAGAGTCCACCTAGTCCGGCTTTGGAGCAAAACGCATCCGTTTCCTCTACGCCTGCTTTGGATGAAGCTGCCCCTCAAGATACTCAGAGCCTGTTCACAGGAGCACCTGGAAGAAGCAGCAGTTCTGCTCCTGAAGGTCCGTGGCCCTTGGGTGGGTGTGAGGAACCACTGCTGAGCCCACCAGCTGGCTATACGGGACTTACCTCGGCTGCTTCTCCGCTGCCTGCTTTCCCTGCGGCTGATGTCGATCGGATCCTCAGCGCTGGTTTTACCACGCGGGAAGCTCTTGAGGCTTTGGAACAAGCGGATGGAAACGCAGATCTTGCTCTTCTCATTTTGCTAGCCAAGAGTATCGTTGTTCCTACGTAACTACGGAAGAGGTAGCTGACTGGGGTGTCTTTTAAAGGACGTATCTAAATTATACACCATAATATACAAGCAGAATGTTGAGCCAGATTTTTTAATTATTTGCAGCCAAAGTAACTTCTCTCTTCTGTTTCACTTGTTAGATTTGGCCTTTTAAAAGAAAGAAAATATCCTAGCATTGTGTGGACAGGATAGCTTTTAATTATGCATACTGGATTAAAATTAATGTTTTTATTTAAATATACAATTTTAGAATAAGCTCCAGTGTTACGAATAAAAAGCAGAAGCCATTGAGATCACCGCCCTGTCCGGCGCAAAGCAGATTGTGAAGTGAATTGGCCGTGCGTGCGTGTGCACAGGACAGGAGGTGCACGCCGAGTTGGGTCTGGCGCAGACGCGAAACAGCGCTTGTCCAAAAACGGACTTTGTGGATTTGTTTTAGCTCTCCTGCGCTTTGTAACTCAATGTCCATTGGTGACGCTGGTGAAACTATTATGGCAGCTACTAAAGGTATGTAGATGCCCACCGACGTGTAACACTTTGCAAGAGGAGTGAGGGGGGTTTTGGAAGCGTGCGTTTTTGTGTGTGCATGGGGAAGGGTGATGCCTATTTTTGCCAAACCCTTTTATGCTCTTGGGCCAGTGTGTTCAAGTTTACAACGTGGGGATAGAAGAAGGGAAGGGATAGAATTTGGTGCTACCAAAACTTAAGAGATGTTTTAACTTATTTGAAGATGTGCTGGTATTAATTGTAGGGGAGGGGAGGGAAAAGGAGTATTTCACTTTTTTTTTTCCTAGCCTTGCGCACATCGTGTTTTCCCCATACAAAAGACCAAGCTCAACCACTTTAAGGCAAAACCTTAATGATGAAATTGTTTAACAAACCAACCGTGTGTTATGGCTCTTAATCCCCCTCTGCCTGGGGTAGAACGAACTGTTTCAGTGGATGCATTCACTATGCACCGAGCGGGGGTGTGATCAGAAGAATGAAGAAATCTGCTTTGCACTAGTTTATCTGGACGCTTGGGGATGATCAGCCTCTCAGCTGTGGAAATGCAAACTGCGGAAAGCCTGTAGCGGCTAGTGGGGTACTCATTTCATGCCTCTTAAAGAGCGAGGGCTCCCCAATAGGGTTTATGAAACAAATGCACTGACGTGGCTTCTGTATTATAACCATCGTGGCCTTCCGGGAAGTCCCTGGTGAGTAGCCTGCCTGATGAGGACTCGCCGAGGCTGTACTGTAAGGAGCCCTTTCCAGGTGCTCTGCAACGCCCCAAAACGCTGTTGGGGCTGGGGAAGGGGAAGGGAAGTTTGGCTGAAGCATGATACCAAATTTTAAGTAGGAACTTTTACTTAGTCCCACTTGCAAATCTCAGAAGTGGCTTTGTGTCAAGTGTTCATCTCGAACTTTCTGCTTTGAGCTAAACCTGAAGTGATGGGTCAGCAGGGGCTGGAAACATGGTTTTGTTCGTGGCTTTCATTTGTTGTTATCATTGTCTCAGGCCTGTGTTCCTGGTGTTTTGTTTTCCCTGTTGCTTAGCGTATTTGCCTACGTGTGTATGCTAGGCTTTTTTTTCATGCAGTGTGGCATTTAAAAACAACACAAATCTGGTTTCATCTGTGAACTTGCAGGAGTTTCTGATGTCAGTGTGCAGTGGTTGTCAGATTTTTCTTAGATGCTTGGGCAGCCAGGAGATCCTTTAGAATAACGAAGAGCTTTCAGGCATTCCTCTTCTGTCAAATGGAGCTTTTGCATGAGCTGTGAATGTACCAGCTAGGCCTGGGGCTCCCAGACACGTTCAGCTCATATCCCACTGCTTGCGATGGCAGCAGCAGGCACTGCTCCGTGCTTATGTAGGAAGCAGTGCTTGGCTGTTTGGGAACCCCTTGCCGGAGCAGCATCGAATAATTCACGTGAGGCTCCGTTCAAAATGAGTTACTGAGGCAAGACTACAGCTTTGTGATCTTTACCGGGCAGGTGGTAAGAGTTACCCCTCCTGAAGTTTCTGGGTTTTTTTAATACTCTCCTTGCAATGAGCACCTCAAATCAGCAAAAAAAGCCCCCCCTGTAAAGGGTAACGCTTGGGCTGGTACAGGAGTACAGTGTCATCAGATCTCTCTGTAGAAGCCTTAGGAAATAAGATATGTTAGACCCATTCCCATCTGCATCTGGTTCACTACCAAAAGCAGCAACAGGAAGGAGGCTCCCAGCTCTCAGATCCAGAGCATCCTCAGTCTAAACGGCCAAATCTGCTCCCGATTCACGCCACGGGTCTCACTGAGGTGGTCCTAGGGGCAAGCCCCTGCCTGGTACGCAGATACCAGCTGCAGGCTGGCCCTCTTGGATGCACGAAAGCTGAATTTGCGCCCTTAGCCTGCAGGTTGATCTACTGCCAGCTTCTTGAAGCATCCAATGTTAGCTATTCAATCTTCTACCCTTTTCGTATTTACACTTATGTTTTTAGAAGCAATTGCTAATAGCTAGACGAAGTACTGCTGCTTTGCACCAAACTGGTTAAAGGCTCTACATTTATGGCCACATTTACTTAGACTGCATATACAGAATTTATGCTACAAAAGCTTTAGAGCATCAGCCAATTTGCTTCAATGCTCAGTTTTATTCTTTGTCAAATATAATTTTTGAAATCTGCCCTTCTGCCAAAGGTGTACCGAAGCATTTATCGATAGTGCTAGAATTTCCTGGGTAACTTTCTCTGAACTGCTAGAAACAAAGCCTGACCCCCAACTGATAAATACTTGTAAAACTATTTTATCGAGTTGGTCCAAGCCTGGTGATTTAAGTCTCTTAATTTTAGAGCCTTGCTTTGAGTGAATGGCTGCGTGCTGCTAATTAGAGAATAATTTTTTTAGGAGCAAGATTTATGTTGGAGAAAATTGGGGCACTGGTGAGTATTTAAGGTTAAAATAAAATGTAATAGAACCTGTACTTAGCGAATGCTGTCTAAAAGTTGTCTTCTGTTTTAACATGCACGTGTGTCCTCTCTGCTGTATGCACACATCCTTTGCTCAGCCTTTAGCAATCCCTTAACCGGTCTCTGTGCTTACCTGGCCTGCAAAGTGGGAATACTGCTATTTAAGCAGGGATGGCAGACTGCTGCAGCTTGTTAGCTGGAGCGGGGGATAAAGGTAACACCGAAAGCTGTTCAGGTTTCCAAGGAGCCATGTATCCTGGCCTAAAGTAAGGCTGTTCACTCTCTTCTCTCCCCCCTCCTCATTAATCACTGCTCCAATGTACTAATGTCACATCAGCTTAGTAAAATGTTGTCACTATGAAATGTCCATCTATGGAGAATAAAGCAACACTCAGAAGCTGCTTCGTAAAGATGCCAGCGGCTGTGGGGACCCTTGTGGGTCCGTACAGCTCATTTCTGGGTGTTTCCTGAAGCCACTGTGGTCACATACCTTGCTGTTGGTTTCTGAGATGTATTCTTTTCCTTAAAGATACTGAAGGAGTTTACTCAGCCTCTTGCTGAATGCATTTTCTGTACACGAGGCTCTAGGTGAGTTTAGAGGTGATGTTTAGTGAAATACCGACATCTGAAAGTTTCTGGGCACAGATAGTTCTGACAAGAGGAGGAAGTATTTCCTGGTGACGGTCCCTGGCGTGTTTACCTGCTGCTGGACAGAGCTGAGCTACTCTGCGTTATCGTGACAATCTCTGCCTTGTTGCTGCGTATGTTCAACTTTCTACGTAGACACTTGGTCTGCAGGACTGTTAACCTTGTACCTCCTAGACGTGTTCCCTTCTTTCTGTCTTTGTCTCTCCCTCTTGCTGTCTCCTTTCCTCAAAAGTAGCAATATTTAAGTGTACTAGCTGAATGCTTAACTTCCAGATAAGTTTTCTTTAAAACACTATGCCATTTACAAGTAAAAGGAGGAACAGATCCTAGAGGTTTCTTCACCAGACTTGGACTTCTTGCCAAATGGCTCCCCAGAACTCTAGCGTGAATTCCAAGAGGAGAAATCAAGAGGTATTTTTGCCTGCCTCTCTCGGAAGTCAGCTTGGGAAATGGGGTCGGTTTCATGTACATCATTCCCTTCTGAAGCGTTCAAGAGATTTCTTCCTGCACTGTGTAGAGGAGGCTTAGTCCGTGATCCAAATCCGTAGCAGTTTGGGTTACTCTTTGACTGATGCTTTTTAGCTTAAGAGTTTTACAAACTCACTTAAGGAACTTGAGGGAATCAATACTCAGGAATCCTAAAGCTGGTTGCATTTGTGTCATTTACTCTTCTGGGCTGAACATAACTGCATTGTCCTCGCAGGTGGCTGAAGGGAGGAGTGGTTGTGTCATCAGAGAATGGGATGTGGTTCTGCCCAAAGTAATACACACTTGATTCTTTTTTTGATTTATTTTTTTTTTTAAATACTGGGGGACTGTTTATCAACAAAATTGATGTGTAAAAAAAAAAAAATTTGATATTTAAAAAAATGAATAAACACTTTATAATGTTGCTTGATTGGTCTGTCTGTATTTCTGAGGTCAGCATCTTTGCACTCAAATCCTTCTCTTGCTTTTTCTTCCAAAGCCAATAGAATTTTCTTAACATAAATGCTGCCATTTTGAACATAACGAGTAGGAATCTGTGGCTAAAATGATTCCAGTTGGCAGGGCCTGAGAACAGGCAGGAGAAATTTGGGTATTTCCCTTCTACAGGGATGGGCTGTTGAATCCTTCAGGCAGGACTTGGAAGAGCATTAGAGTACAACACAAAACGTAGGACTTGGTCACAGCACTGTCTGCTGGAAAAACGAATGAGGCACTCCTGTCTCTCCTACAGAAATGCCTTATTTCCAGCTACATTAGGAGGCAGTTGGTTTTATTTTTCTGGAGCAGGAAGCTCATCTCTTGGGACATCAAAAAATTGGCATTTACATCCCTGGAAAGTTCGTGACAGATAGAAATAACTTTTTTTTGACGTCCCATTCTCTTAGTGTCATGTAATAGAACAGGTTTTGGAAAGGGGGAGTAGAGGATCTCCCTC